AGAATTTGAACTAGTAATACATATAAAATACTATATAATTATTTATACAAATCCTTTAAAAAAAAGTTAATTATATAATAAAAAATTACACTACTATTCTTTTTATCAAGAACTGTATTTGCGTATATTATTTAAAGAAACTGAATCTAATACTTTTAGAATTATTTCTTATAATCTTTTCTATATATTATTATAATTAAATACAAATTCTGGTCAAAATCTTCATAATTTCTCTTAAAGATTGCTCTTGATAATTGTAGTTAGTCCCTTTGATAATCATTTATCAGGTTATCATGATACCAGTTTGTCAAGATGCCAGTATGACAAATAGTCAAAATTATAGATGCCTACCAAAACTTTCTCAAAATAATTCGTCATACCTTTTTCTATGTTTTTAATATAGTTTTGACAGTTTTAGCTTTCATTGTATTGAATGGGTTTCTTTGTATTTCTTATTATGATTTTAATATAATTTCGTCTAAGTTTTGATTATTATTAAGAGATTTCATTACTTATCTATAATTAAAATGCTAAGATAGCTTAATTAAAATCTTTTATAAATACGGCTAGAAATTCTAAAACAGCTCAATATCTATGCTCACCTTTAGCATATTTCTTTAAAATCATTTCCTTCACTATTTTCCCTTTACACCTTCATAATAATTTTAATTTTTACCCTTTAAATTTTATAATTTTGCATTTTGTAATACAGTTTATTGTTTTATTTTTAATTTCTGATTTTATTAGCAATTTATTATACAATTTTATATAACAGTTTCATAATTATGTAGTTTAATTATTAGTTAGCATTTATTTAATTTAATATATTAATATTATGAAAGTATAGAGTACTAATATTGAGGCAACACTGATTAATTTGATAATATTAAATAAATTCTTTATCAATATTACTTTATTTTTATTAAATTATTATTCAATTAAAAATTATTTATAAATACATAAATGAAAGAATTAAATACAATAATATAATTACAATTAAATATATTATTTTGCAATTTTTCAATACATTTTAATATAATTAAATTTATAATGAAATTGTAGATAAAAATTACTTTATGTCTCAAACTTTCAATAACTTTTTATAAAATTAATTTCTGATTAAGAAAATCTTCTTAAGCTGCTAAAATATGATGTATATAACATTCTGAATTTTCTTATAATAACTTATTATTATTACAAAATTTTTTAATTCTAGTTTTCATAAATTACATTCTTATAAAATTATTTTTATTCCTTTAGGTTTTTTACAAAGTTTTTCATTTGAATAATTAGCAAAAAATACCATATTTTAAACTTGCCTATTAAAAATAGTATCACATATAATTAGTTACTTTACATCAGAATTAAGATTTATATTTGTTGCATTGAGAGTATCATCAGCCAATTTTATATTATTAAAGGAATTATCAAATGCAAATATTACAATCATTTTAGAATGTATTTTTCAAAAATTAGAATTGCTCAAGTTTTAATCTATATATATATAATAATATTATTAAAAATATAATTATTTATAAATTAGTTTATAATATATTTATATTACCTGATTAATCAAATGATCAACATTCTACTATTTATCAAAATTTTTTCTAGTATTAATTGTCATATGAGCTTCATGCAGAATTATTTCATCTATATTATTTTTATTTAATTTTAATCTTTCAATAGTTTCTGTTAAAAAATTACTAACATGAATAAAGTATTCTTGATTTTTTTACGTAATGATTATTTATTTTTAGGTCTTTAACCTGATTTTTATCTATAATTTAATTGAAAAGTTGTTTCATCATATATTACAAGATATGTAATTTTTATTCACTTTCTAATTCTGAATCAAATTTTAATTTCAACTCATTACCAATAAATTTCAGCATTAATTTTTGATAACTATAATATAAAAAATGTCATCCCTTCAAGTATTTTGCAGATAAATTTGCCTGCAATTTTATTTAATAATTAAAATTATTTATAATATTTTTAAAATAATTTATTTAAAAATTAATATTTTTATAATAAATTCTAAGTAAAAATTCAAAAAAAATGTAATTAATTAGTGATATTTTAAAGATATATATAAAATAAATTATTATGAAAAAAAGTTAAATATTTAAACTTATATATCTTGCTATCTATTAATTTTAGAAATATGAAAATATAATCATTTAATAAGTCTTAATAAGATAAATCTAATAAATTAAATTTTAAAAAATTGAAAAATTAAAAAATTAATATATATTAATAATTATTAATTTTAAAAAATTTTAAAATACTATTATTAAATAGATCTTAATATAATAAATCTAATAAATTTTATTTCATCTTTTTATAATCACTAAATATTAAAATATTATAATTTTTACAATGTTTTATAGCCAATTTATACTTACGCTTTAAGAGATAATATAAAATAAATAAAATATTTAATATAATAAGAAAATAAAAGATTTACTTTATCATACTCTCAAAAAATTCTTTTTGATAAGCAATAATATTATTTCTCTCATGATTATCAATATACATTTCTTTTATATATTGACTAAAATATATCACATTTTTTAAATTATCAAATTGCTATAGGTTTGCTATAAAGTATAAGAATTTTTAGTAAAATATGTATTAAATAAAGTAATCTATAAATATAAATATGATAAAACAAATACCTGATTTTAGTTTTTTTTTCTATACCAATAAAAGGTAAAATTTTATTAGCAATATAATCACAAAACTGTGAACAGTTATATTAAATTTATGTTATTATAAGTATAATACTACTTTTAATTAAACATCCTCATCATCAATAATACTGTTTTCTCTAAAATGCTTTTCGCGATTATTATTAAGAACATCATCATACTTAATAAATGCTTTAATCCAACTTCTAACACAATGAGCAAATTATATTTCTTGATTTAATAGGTCTGCAACAATTTGACTTACTTCTAACTTTACGTATTCTTTGTTAAAGAGTTATAAAAAATGTTAAATAACTATAAGTCATAACTTATATTCTGGAGTTAAATGTTCACTTTCAAATTTTAGTTTATTTTCAATTCTATTAATCAATGCATTTTTATAGTATTATCAGATTTAAAATCATTACTGAAAGAACTACTACCAGAAGAATTACTACTAGAAGAACCATTACCAGAAAAATCACCACTGGAGGAACTACCACTAGAAGAACTATCACTGAAAGAACTATCATCAAAATTATTGCCAGAAGAACCAATACTAGTATTATTTTGATTATTTAATAGTTGATAGAGTATTTGCCCATTTTTCTTTTGAATTTCTATTACTTTAATTTTTTTTTAGTATTTTGTTGTTCATGAGTTTCCTATATTTATTAATAGACGTTTGGAAAGTTTTAATACTTTCATATTTTTAGTTAAAACTAAAAAAAGCTACTCTGTCTCATCCTTATTAGTCTATTCAACTTCATCATCTATACTAATTCTATCATCTGAACCTAAACTATTATTAGAATAGGTATCATCATTATTTTTCACAATTTAAAGTTTTCTTTTCTTCACTATTCTTCAGCATTGTTGGATTTGTTATTTTGAACATCCTATTAGTGAAAAAAAAATAGATCAGTTGATCAATATACGCATATAATCTAAACTATTTAAGTAAGTGACTTACATTAAGAATAATTCTAGCTGGAGTTATATGTTTCAAATCCATTTCTGATTATGAAATACCTAAACTTAATCAGTTAATAATTTTTGATCTAGATTTCTGATCAGAGTAATTTTAACATTATTTTATAGCATCGGTCAATATCTATTAAACTACGTTAAAATATTTTAAATAAAAGCATTAGAAAATATTTTATTTTATTTTTAAGTTTGATAAATTTATTAAATGGTTTATTGTGATACAAGCCATAGAAAAATTATAATATTTTAATTTCTAATAATTATAAAAAAATAAAATAAAGTTTATCATATTAAGATCTATCTAATAATAGTATTTTTAAATT